GGTACTTCGTTTTTTGACGGTACTTTGGCGGATGACGGTACTTCGTTTTTTGACGGTACTTTTTTGACGGTTGACGGTACTTCGTTTTTTGACGGTACTTTTTTTAAGGTACCGCAATGTCACGGTACTTTTTTGACGGTACCGAAATATGACGGTACTTTTTTGGCGGTTGACGCTACTTCGATTTTTGACGGTACTTTTTCGGCGGTATTGAACAATGACGGTACTTTTTTTACGGATGACGGTACTTGGTTTTTTGACGGTACCGCCGAATATGACGGTATTCCGCGGAGTACCGTATCCGACCTACACGACGCTCTCGTGGACCCGGTACAAGATCCGGTGCATTTCCTCCGCTTCGTAAGCCGCGTTCTCGACGATTAGGAGGCGAGATCCGAGATAATCGATGTCGCTCTTGACGTTGTTGAGCTTGGCCGTGTGGGCCACGGACGACGGCGACACCATCGCAGCACCCGCCCCGTCGCCGCAGGGCGCCGCCGCCGGCCTGCCCTCCGCGAAGCACTCCTGCATCTCTCGCTGTACCCTCGCCACCCGCTCGTTCATCTTCTCCTGCTTCTCTGCGATAGAGCGGGTGAGCCCAGCTACCGCCGCCTTCTCCTTGGCTGCAGCGCCGTCCGTTTCCTCCCCGGCAACGGCGTTGTAAGTAGCTTGCTCCTTCAGGCGGAGGACGTCCTCACGGGCGGCGGCGACGGTTGCCGCGCACTTCCCCTCGCGAACGGCCATGGCGCCCTGGACGGCGGCGGCGAGCGCGCGCCCAAGCCTGCTCTCCATACCGTCGAGCTTGTGGGTAGGGGAGAAATACTTCCAACAGTCAGTGCACCGCGGCTGGACCAACTCGAGGATCATGGATTCCTCCCTGAGACTTCGCACAGTTTTATTCGAGCAGTGTTTGGGCTGCATCGATGTTGTCAGTGCAAGTTCTGTGGGAATACTTGCGCCACTGACGACACGTGGAAACAACCATTTTACGGAACAGCGGCCGTAGTGGCAGCGAGAGTATCGCTTAGGTCGGCGGCTTGATAGACGTCAGAGTCACCGGGTAACGGGGGCGCCACGAACGCCAACAAAGCCTTCCGAGAGAGGTGCGAGTCAACTTATTCCCACGATGTGACTCACCGCAAGCCGTTTCCTCTTGATCAGGCCCCTCATAGCCTCCCGGCCTTCAACCGGTATGGTCGTGGTTCCACCGAACACCCAAATCCTCGCCAGCGCCGCGTAGCTCAGCGCCTCGTGCCCCTTTCACGTATGGAGAACGGCATCACGCATGAGGGGGTTCGTATTGATGCGGGGCTCTCCTTCCTCGACTCCGGCGTACGAGAGGTGCAACAGCTTCTCCGTCGGCCTGGCTGTGTCAACTTGCCCGCGAGACGTCGCAAGCGCCAGCAGCACCCCCATAGTCTCACGCTCCAAAAGCACCATCATGTTTCCGTTCGTGAAAACTAGCGCCGAATCCACCGGGCGCAAGTAGTCAATCGACGACATTGTCGAGAACTTCGCAGTCCTGAACAAGAAGTTCCGCGTGCAGAACACCGTTTTCGCCGACGAGCCCACGGATGAGATCTGGGCTTCCTTTGCTAGCCGGCTCCAAGCTCGGGCCAAAGGCACTGCCTGTTTGTCGGTTCGAGGTTTGTGAATTGTTGTTTTTAGAATTGGTTGGTGTTGAACTTGTTGGAGATGGTGGCTGACAGACTGTTCACACACCGAGTCAAAACAGTCATGGCTACGGTTTCGCATCGTTGTCCTTCCTGCTGTACTGTAGTATACATTTCATCAACAGTGACCTACCTGGCGTTTCGTGTACATGTCTTGTAATTCACATGATTCCCAACCTCGCGTGTGCATTGTTGAAGCCAGTACTGTGTACGACGTTTGCTACCGTCGGAGAATCTTCGCATTCACATATATTTAATGACGGCAATGGTAAAACTTGATTGACTTCTTTCTGCCTTGCGGCTGGTCTGCCAGGGTACGTCAAAGGTATGCAGCGATGTGAATTCCCCTGCGAGCTGAGCGTGGTCAAGCTGGCAAGATAGGTTAAATTTTCGACGACAGTGTGCATTATTCAGGCATGGGTGCAGACCACTATTTAGTACTCAAGCGAAGCTCGGCCTCCTGTACAACCACGTTAGAATGCCAGGTACAGCACTCCACGTGACGCATCGACGACTACGTCGCCTTCCCAACTGTTTGCTAAGCCTTCCATGGCACGAGAGAGAGATTGCCGGCATGTCGACCAAGTTATTGTTGTGCACAAGCGGAGGATATCGAACTCCGTGCACAGTGGCTACAAAGAGACAGTGGCAACCGACGGGATGACTGCAAGATAGTTAAAGGTACTATCTCCCGCATATTCGTGAACGAATTAAGAAACCGGCGGAATAGGCACTCTTGGTGTAGGTAGTACGTATTTCAGAGCGTGCCTATTCTTTCATTTGTGGGACAGAAACGTCCTGGTGTGCACGGCAATGATCCTCCAAATAATACCAAGGAGAGAAAGAAACAATCGCCACTAACCCCCAACTACCTTGAGGGAACAGTAATCCGTTGTCAGTCGCGGCCTCACATTTTCAACCTCGCCAATCCGGGTCGGCGGCCACCGCCCTGACAGGACTGCAGCGTAGTCCCAATCCACTTCCTTGCGGGGTTCCACCCTTGCTATCTGCCGCTCCACTTCTTCCTCCTCCTCTTGCTCGAGGTCGCACTTGACACCAGTCGCCCCTGTGGTCTAGTGGTATCCTCGCAATCCGCTGGTTGCACAGGTCGTGAGTTCGAATCCCCATGGGGTGAAAGCGAAATATAGCTGACAAGCTTTGGTGAGTACCAAACTTCGACGTTAGCACCGTTGACGAGGGAAAGGGACGGCTGGACCCTTCTCGCGATAAAAGTAAAATTCAGCACGCACCGCAGGAGGAAGGTGGGGCATGAAAATAAACAAATAGAAAAAAACAAGCCCTAGTGTTCACCCCCTCCTGTGTGACCCTGGATGGTTGTAGTTGTACGAAAAAGTACCCTAAAAAGTGTAGTACTCTACATACGCTGAAAAGTGTAGTACACGTCTCACCACGAACAATGGGGAGACCGTCGCCATAATAAATAGGACGAAAGCACACAACACACACATCTCCCGATCGCACTCGCCTCCGGTCGCCTCATCTCTGGAAACCAACACGGTCTTGCCATACCGCTCGGACCTCGACCCAATCTCCTTCGCCAGCTCGGGCATGTGCACATCGCCTCGGAAACGGGCGTTTTGTTTGCCCACGGCCGCGGATACCGCGCTGTGGACTGAGATCCGCCTGTATGCCCCTCCGTAGGCGGCGTCGAGGGTCATCACCTCTTCCTGCTCGGCGCGGTCGGCCCTCCTGAACGTTTCTGAGAAGTGCAGGCCTTGACCGGGCCACGGCAGTAAACCAGATTTCGTTGCGAGCACAGTGTTAGCCATGACGTACCCCAGCACATCCTGCGAAGAGATTTAGTCGGAGTACGAGATCCCCGTGACTTCCTCGATCTTGGTAGAAACATCCGGAGTGCCGACGAAAACGATGGACTGATTGCTTCGTCCCAAAAGCCGAAGTCGGCCGGCGGCCTGCATGACCTTGTCCTTGCCATTGTTGGGCCCGATCGTCAGGAGGGCCGTGGCATCGGGAGACAGCTTCAGGTCGGCTCCCCGGCACCGGACCTCATCGTAGATCGCGAACGCCTCGGAGGCTCGAATGGGGGATCCGCTGAGTGCCACAGAGCGCCCTACCCGGTCGAGCACCATCCAATCCCCACCAACGGCGGCGTTGCCCCGGCTTGCGTCGAAGAACACGACCCGCGAAACGTTTCGGGGAGTTTCCCTCCCGAAGGCAACAGAAACCTGGCCGCTTCCTTGCTCGAAACCCTCCCCAGGAGGGCGCCGCAGTTCAGAAGCACGTGGGCTTCTTCTTCCACCGCGAGGCGAAGAAGCCTCCTCCATGCCTCACCACCCCCACCGCCCCCCAGTTCGCCCGACCCCTCGAGTGTGATGTAGCGCTTGTTCAGAAGTGTGAGGTCAAGCATTTTCCCGTTGGTGCCGGCAAGGGAAGGCAGAGAACCGTCGGGGTTCTTACGAACCTGCAGCGGCAGAAGCCTGTGGTTGTCGTTCGTGCGCGACAACCCTGACACCGCACCGTCTGGGTTGTCGGCGAGGAAGCAGGAGTTGGTGCCGATGCAGGCCGGGCAGAGCTTTTGTCTCGTTAGGAAGAACATTGAAGTCCAGCCAGAAGTTGACCACCCCGAAGTTGCACCGGAAGTGTTGGTACAACAGCTCCATCTGAGGCTCATTGGTGAGATCGACCTTGTGCACGTCGNGTACCAAACTTCGACGTTAGCACCGTTGACGAGGGAAAGGGACGGCTGGACCCTTCTCGCGATAAAAGTAAAATTCAGCACGCACCGCAGGAGGAAGGTGGGGCATGAAAATAAACAAATAGAAAAAAACAAGCCCTAGTGTTCACCCCCTCCTGTGTGACCCTGGATGGTTGTAGTTGTACGAAAAAGTACCCTAAAAAGTGTAGTACTCTACATACGCTGAAAAGTGTAGTACACGTCTCACCACGAACAATGGGGAGACCGTCGCCATAATAAATAGGACGAAAGCACACAACACACACATCTCCCGATCGCACTCGCCTCCGGTCGCCTCATCTCTGGAAACCAACACGGTCTTGCCATACCGCTCGGACCTCGACCCAATCTCCTTCGCCAGCTCGGGCATGTGCACATCGCCTCGGAAACGGGCGTTTTGTTTGCCCACGGCCGCGGATACCGCGCTGTGGACTGAGATCCGCCTGTATGCCCCTCCGTAGGCGGCGTCGAGGGTCATCACCTCTTCCTGCTCGGCGCGGTCGGCCCTCCTGAACGTTTCTGAGAAGTGCAGGCCTTGACCGGGCCACGGCAGTAAACCAGATTTCGTTGCGAGCACAGTGTTAGCCATGACGTACCCCAGCACATCCTGCGAAGAGATTTAGTCGGAGTACGAGATCCCCGTGACTTCCTCGATCTTGGTAGAAACATCCGGAGTGCCGACGAAAACGATGGACTGATTGCTTCGTCCCAAAAGCCGAAGTCGGCCGGCGGCCTGCATGACCTTGTCCTTGCCATTGTTGGGCCCGATCGTCAGGAGGGCCGTGGCATCGGGAGACAGCTTCAGGTCGGCTCCCCGGCACCGGACCTCATCGTAGATCGCGAACGCCTCGGAGGCTCGAATGGGGGATCCGCTGAGTGCCACAGAGCGCCCTACCCGGTCGAGCACCATCCAATCCCCACCAACGGCGGCGTTGCCCCGGCTTGCGTCGAAGAACACGACCCGCGAAACGTTTCGGGGAGTTTCCCTCCCGAAGGCAACAGAAACCTGGCCGCTTCCTTGCTCGAAACCCTCCCCAGGAGGGCGCCGCAGTTCAGAAGCACGTGGGCTTCTTCTTCCACCGCGAGGCGAAGAAGCCTCCTCCATGCCTCACCACCCCCACCGCCCCCCAGTTCGCCCGACCCCTCGAGTGTGATGTAGCGCTTGTTCAGAAGTGTGAGGTCAAGCATTTTCCCGTTGGTGCCGGCAAGGGAAGGCAGAGAACCGTCGGGGTTCTTACGAACCTGCAGCGGCAGAAGCCTGTGGTTGTCGTTCGTGCGCGACAACCCTGACACCGCACCGTCTGGGTTGTCGGCGAGGAAGCAGGAGTTGGTGCCGATGCAGGCCGGGCAGAGCTTTTGTCTCGTTAGGAAGAACATTGAAGTCCAGCCAGAAGTTGACCACCCCGAAGTTGCACCGGAAGTGTTGGTACAACAGCTCCATCTGAGGCTCATTGGTGAGATCGACCTTGTGCACGTCGTCCATCTTCGCCAGGTCCTCATCGCTGGGTCTCGTTTCAATTAGCCAAGCCTTGTAGTAGTCGGCTTGCGCGCTTTCCGCCACCTGCCCGTCCACCGACGTTGTCAGCGCCTGGCAGAGCTCGGCCTCCGAAAGACCATCGTAGTAGTAGGACAGCACCGTCAACGTGATTGCCAGCATTGGTTCCTTGAACTCACCGCGGTCGGCCGGCGTGTTGCTAGCGCGAAACGGAACGGCCAGCCTCTTCCTGGCCCCAACCACGCGAGACACTCCGTAGTTTATTCGCGGCCGCACCTGCAAGCAATGGAGTAGCGTTTCCTGGGCGAGAAGCCCTCGCAGGGCCATAACCTGCTCCCAGTGGAACTCTTCGGAGCTCGAACCTTTCCCCATGGCTTGTTTCGCGCTCGTCTCTTCATCGAGTACCAGGGTCACCACCTGCGCGCGCAAGGCGCTGTCGATGGCAGTGAGCCACCTCATCTCGTACGGCGGGCCGCTCAAGATCGCGTTGAAGAGCTCCCGGCGCCGCATCGGCTCAACACCGTCCAAGGCCTGGCCAGGTACAAGGCGTAGCTGGTCGAACTGCTCCGGCCGACGGCTCATCTCTTCCACCGCAACATCGCGATCGGACAGCAACGCCTGAAGCTTTGGGAACCTGAAAATTCCGGATATCGTATTGATACAACAAGGGCATAGCAATGGCAATCGGTGTATTGCAGATCAGCGTCTGCAGCAGAGAATGATGCCCAGTGAGTTGGAGTATGCACGCGTGTGGTGATTAGGGATGTGTTCGAAGTAAGCTCCCCCCATTCTTTACGAACAAGCCTCACAACGACAGCGTACACTTAGCGCTTTGTTAGGGATATCTTGATATGCTGAACCGGTGGTGCGTTGCATGCGACAGGGATATGCTC